CCCTGTAATGATGAAAACCTTATGCAAATTGGGTATAGAAGGAACATTGCTCAACATGATCAAAGCAATTTATAACAAACCCTTAGGTAGCATCCTACTGAATGGGAAAAAACTGGAGGCATTCCCATTAAGATCCTGAACCAACAAGGATGCCCACCCTCACATTTGCTATTTAATATAATCCTGGAAGTTTTGGCCAGAGCCATCAGGCAAGAAAAACAAATCAAATTGTTACAATTGGGAAGGAAGAAGTCAAACTATCTTTATTTGCTGATAACATGATTCCATATAAAGGAAACCCAAAAGACTACATGAAGAAACTACTGGAACTCATAAAAGAGTTTGGTAAAGTGGCAGAATATACAATTAACACACAAAAATCAATAGCCTTTGTATATACAGACAATGACACAGCTCAGAAAGAACTTCTAAGATCAATCCTATACACAATAACTACAAAAAATTTAAATTACCTTGCAATAAATTTAACCAAAGTCTATGATGAAAATTACAAATCATTAAAGAAAGAAATGTAAGACATAAAAAAGAGGAAAAATATTCCATGTTCATGGATTCAAAAACTCAACATTACCAAAATGCCCATACTGTCAAAAGCAATTTATAGCTGCAATGTCATCCCAACAACATTCTTTTCAGGTCTAGAAAAAATGATGCTGAAATGCATATGGAAATATTGGGGACCCATAATAACCAAAGCAATCTTAAACAATAAAAACAAAGCTGGAGGCATCATAATAACAGACCTCTAGACATACTACAGGGCAGTTATAATCAAAACAGCCTGGCACTGGCACAAAAACAGACATATACACCAATGGAGCAGAGTAAAAACTCCAGCAAATAATCCACACATCTACAACCAACTTATATTTGACAAAGGAGCAAAAAACAACCCCTGGAGCCAACACAGTCTCCTCAACAAATGGTGCTGGAAAAACTGGATTTCTACATGCAGAAGTATGAAACAAGACCCTACCTTACACCTTACACAAACATCCGCTCAAAATAAATGAAAGAGCTAAATCTACAAGCTGATGCCATCAAATTACTAGAAAACATTTGGGTAACCATACAAACCATTGACATAGGGAAAAACTTCTTGGAAAAGACCCCAGGGGCACAGGCAATCAAAGGAAAAATTTACAAGTGGGATTACATCAAGCTGAGAAGCGTCTGCAATGCAAAAGAAACACTCAGCAAAGAGTGTTTGACACTGAGTGTCAGAAACAACTGACAGAATGGGAGAAATTATTTGCAAACTATGCAACTGATAAAGGATCAACTTCCAGAACCTATGAAGACCTCAAGAAACTCAACAACTACAAAACAAACAACCTAGTAAAGAAATGGGCAAAAGATTTGAACAGACGTTTTTCAAGAAAGGAAATTCAAATGGCCAGTAGATACATGGAAAATGCTCTCAGGATCACTAGCTATTACTGAAATGTAAATCAAAACCACATGAGGTTTCAGCTTACCCTGTTAGAAGGTTCTCATACACAAATCAACAAACAACAAATGCTGGGAAGGATGTGGGGGAAGTGACCCTAATCCACTGTTGGTGGAAATGTTAAACTGGTACAGCCACTTTGGAAGAGAGTATGGAGATATCTCAGGAAGTTGAATATAGACCTACCATATGAACCAGCCACCCCACTTGTGGGAATTTATCCAAAGGAAATGATAGCATGTGAAAGAGTGATCTATAGCCCCATGTTCATTTCAGCTCTATTTACAATAGCTAAGATATGGAATCAATCCAGATGTCCATCAACTGAAGACTGGATATTATATATAAGGACTGGATATTATTAAGAAATTGTGGTTTATATACACTATGGAATAATACATAGTGGCAAAAAATGAAATCCTGTCATTTGCAACAAAATGGATGCAACTGGAAACTGTTATATTTAATGAAATAAGCCAGTCACAAAAAGACAAATACCATATGGTCTCTCTGGTCTGTGGTAATTAATAGAATACTTAACATGTAATCCATTGAAGTGAAACTAACACTTTGAGATGCGATGATTTTGAACAGCCCTTGCTTTGACTGTTGATGAACAATGTTTTTCTGGTTTATTTATTTTTGTTCTTTTTTTCCTTTTTCCTTCATACTCTTCAGTGAACTCTCTAATTAGTGTAGGGTTAATGTTATGAGTACAAAATTAACTGAAAATTGATCTTGGTAAAAAATAAGAATGGGAAAGGAAGAGAGAGGAGGAAGAGAGGTGGGAGTATGGGGGAGAGGGAGGTAGCAAGAGAAGAATCACCATGTTCCCAAGTTTGTATATGTTAAATGCATGAAGTTGTATTCTTTAAATTTTTTTTTAAATTTGACCAATAAAAAATAGGAGGGCTTTTCAACATAGTTTATGCAAAGTGTATATTATGAGAAAACCAAGCATGGATTTCAAAACATATGCAGCAAAATACACTTAAATTTCATTTTTTCCACAAGCATTCAGAGGTACATACTCTGAATTAATCCATGAGGAAAGATCAAAATGTCCTTACTAAGTGACATTTTACAAAATAACTGGCACATATTTTTTAAAAGATAGTAAGGTTATGAAAAACAGACTGAAGAATGTTCTAGATACAAAGGGATTTAAAAGATCGATAGTTAAATACAACATGAATTCCTGAATTAGCTGTTATAGTGGAATCTCTTTCTCTACACAAGAAATTTCCCCAAAAGGGCATTTTTAAAATAATTGGCAAAAAGCTGAAATTTTTTCCTAAATTAGATAATATTGATTTAAAATTAATTAATTGATTTTTTAATTCTTTGTCTATATGGAAGAGAATGTTCATGTTTTTAGGAAATATGCACTGAACTATTTAGGGTATTTAGGATATTGTGTCTGTAATCTTCCAAATGGTTATGAATGATCAAGAAAATGGAATTTTGGGGAATGTAGTTGATGGATACATATATTGATTTACTATTTTGTAAGTCTGAAATTTTTAGAAACATGGGTTGACATGAGCAAGACAGCCCCTCCTCTCTTACTTTACAAAGGAACAAATTCGGCTCCAGAGGAGTATAAAGGTGTCATAACTAACTGCCACTGTTGTTTATTGTCAGATTCCAAGCTTAATTCAGATTTATCTCCAAGTCCAGTGATCTTTTCACAGGACAAACACATCATCCCTCTGTATATGGAACAGCAAAATGCCTAACCAAATCCACAGCACCAGCTCACACATTTACTGTCAAAATGTCTTTGTCTGGATGGGACAATATTGCATGTTAACAGAGCCAATGACCCTCAGAGAGACCAGCTTGTCTCCGTTAATGGAAATATGCTTCAATCCTAGCTTCTATTAACTTGACAACCTAAATTGTGGTTAGTGAACTCATTCCTTGCTAGCTGTAGATCATCCTGTTCTTGGTCAATTGGAATTCTGAAATCCTTAGGCTAAGAGATAAGTACCTTATCAGCCACGCTATTGTCTGTGTTCTGACCACATTTCTAATACGCCTTTATTCCTTGAAATTAATTACCTTCTATGTGTCTCAGCATGTCTTTTTTTCCCTATAACTAAATCTTCATCATTTTTTTTTTCTTTCTGGTCCCCTTTGGTTTCTAGGTTCTATTCACTTCAACAATCCCAGTCACTATGAATTTATTCATCTGTAGGTCCTAACTAGACCTTCATGAACCTTCTACTCCTTCTTCCAGATGTGTGAATCAATGTCTCAATTTTCCAGGATCCAGACATTCTTTGACTGTCTAAGTCCATAGGTCCTATATCAAGCACAAAGTATAGTCTCTTTTTAATGTGATTCTCTCATTGGAGAGCTGAAATTTCACTTGATTCATTCTTCCTTTAAAGTCTAGTTTGAATCCCATATCCCCCTTTAGAGCCTTCCTTGGTCACCCTTGAACCTATGATAGCTCCCATGCAAATACCTCAATAAAAGCACATTGATCTCTTCTCAGACACACCTAGGCCATGCATCTAATCTGCTATGATGCTGGGACCCAGGAGATGATGATGTTGGCACCAAGGGCAGAGAGGGATTCCTGGTGAAGGTCCAGCATTTGCCCTGGTCCTTCTCAGAAAATAAAAGACAGTGGTTTTGTTCTGACTGCAAAATTAAAACTGCAGCTCAAGTTACTTGTTTCATCTCCACCCGAGAAGGCAGACTGAGTGGTGAGGCTTCTGTTGAACTTGAACCACATGTACCATTCATGAGCACAAGCCCCCATGATCCAATCACCTCCCAAAGATCCTGCCTCCTAATGTATCATTACCTTGGGGATTATGTTTTGATAAACAAATTTTGGGCGACACAAACATTCAGGCCAAAATATATAAGGAATTCAAACAACTCAACAGCCAAAAATCCAGAAAACAATAGATTATCAAATACAGGTAAGAATCTGAACAGACATTTTTCCAATGATGGCCAATAGACACATGAAAATACCTTTAACGTCATTTATCATCATGGAAATGCAAATAAAACCACAATGAGATATCATTTCATATATGTTAGGACGGTTATTATTTTAAAAAGATAAATATTGATAGGAATGTGGAGACTACTGCTAGGAATGGGACTTGGAACAGTCTTTATGGAAAATAGTGTGGTGGTTCCTCATCAAATTGACAATAGAACTACTTTATGATACAGTAATCCTACTTCTGGGAATATATCCTGAAGAAATGAAATCAGTATCTTAAACTTATATCTGCAGTCCTAAATTCATTGCTGTATTATTCACAACAGCCAAGAAATAGAAACAATCAAGGGTCCACAGATGGATAGATGGATCAGGGAAGGATGATGTGTGTGTGCGTGTGTGTGTGTGCATGTCCATTTTTTAAAAAGATGGAAATCCTGTAATTTGGAACAACCTAAGTGAACCTGGAAAGTATTATACTAAGCAAAATAAGAACAAATGGCAAATAATGCCACTTATATGAGGATTCTGAAATAGAATGGTGGTTGCCAGGGGTGGAGGTAAAACAAGATGGGAAGGAGTAGGTCAAAGGGTACAAAGTTCCAATTACACAAGTTAAAGAAGTCCTACTTCTGACACATTCTTCATGGTGCAGTGAGGCTCTGGTGAGGTGTGTAACACCCTGGAAAGCCCTGAAGAAAGGACTGGATTCATACAGACGAGGCTAAATGTCATACAGAAGTTCCTCCTCCGATGCACAGGGACACCTTCTCCTACAGAGCAGTTCCTGAACACTGATGGGTCATGTGCACTTCAGGGCCTTTCCTCAGGTCACCCACAAGGTACCTGCTACTTCACACCATCACTCAGCTGTCAGGACACCAGACAGAGCCCTGCACCTGCCTGATTCGTTTTTCATAGGCCTCCCCGCTCTGTTATGAAGAATTTCCTTACTGTCCTCACCTCGCTCCTTGTAAACCTCATATAAATGGAGGATCTGAAACACACTATGGTAAAACCCAAGCTCTTGGTATATACAGAGATCATGGGCACAGAAAGAGGCTAAGGATGGAGAGGCCAAGGGGAGACGTCAGCCATTCTGTCAGTGTGCCCAATGAATAAAGGCAGAGTGCACCTGTTTGTCATGGGTAGGAACCCTATAAAACCACTGAAATGAGACCTATCCCCCACCCCAGCCCCTACAGACCACCAATAGCTGACATTCACTTGAGAGGCCATGTGCTGCCAGTGACAGGGTCGGCCTCAGTGCCCTACTTGAGGCGGGGCTATGCTGGAGATGCAGAGGCAGGCAAGCAGCCCGCACAGAGAGTTTATTCCAATCTCCTCCCCAACGGTCCCACACTCGAGCTCAGAGGTCTGTCTGTGACAACCCTGCCCTCCCAGTTTCAAACTCCATGTCTTCCAAGTGAGCTTACTCGGTGCTCAGGAAGACCTGCTTGCACGAGGCGTTGGTTAAGGGGGACTAGCACCACTCCACATCTGCCATAGCCTCCTGCTCCATAGCGCCCAGGAGAATCATGTGCGGCTCAGGTCAAAGAAAGGCCTGAACTTGGTCAGTGTATGTCATGTCATCCATTTTCTTAGAGATATGGTGCTCGAACCAGATGCACCTGCTCTGCTTTGCAAAAGTGATGAACTGGTGGCTGTCATCTTCGGGTACAAGGAACAGATAACCAAGGGTATGAGGTACCTGCATGCCCAGGTTGGCAGAGAAGCCATGTCTGATGAGGTAGGGCTTGGCCCCTGACACAATGGTCCCTATTTTTAAAAATGGGGCTAAATTCTTTCATGCTGATAAAATCAAGATTTCAAAGGAGTCTCCAGTTACCTAATCAAAGCAAATGACACACTATGATGCTAAAACAAAGCAGCATTTGGGAGTGGGAAAGGAAGTGTCTTCTTGCCTGTAGTGCAGCTTTGCCTCTCTCCATCCCATGAGGCAAGTTCTGAAAACTTGTCTTTAAGCATTTGTACTCATAGCCATACTGTTGAGGTAGCCCTAACTGCATAGCTCAAGAGGGGACTATGGGAGTTTCCCAGGAGTCAAAATCAAAGTGGAGTGTCTCATTTAGTGTGTTTTTACTAAATGTGTCTGTAAAAAGGTCCTGATGTTCCCATATTTAAAGATTTGTTGTTTATTTAAAAGGCAGAGTTACAGAGGGATCTGCTGGATCATTCCCCAAATGACCGCCATGGCCAGGGCTGGGCCAGGTCAAAACCAGAAGCATCATGTGTGGCATGGGCCCAAGTACTTGGTCCATCTTCCTCTGCTATTCCAAGTACATTAGCAGGGAGCTGAATCAGAAGTGGAGCAGCCAAGACTCAAATCCATGTTCATATGTGATGCCTATTTCACAGGTGGTGGTTTAACCTGCTACACCACAATGCCTACCCAATCACGTGTGTGTGTGTTTTAAATTCTTTATAACAAAAGTTATTGGACCTCATGAATGTCATTTCCTTTTTTATGTCACTATTTGGAAAGAGGAAAGAACTCACAGGCTCCTTAATCACTAACAAAGTAAAATGTATAGTGAGCAAAAATGAACTATTTTGTTGTTTTGGTCATGAAGACAATAAAAATTGCAAACATGTCATTTTATAATTTCTTTCTTCTTTTTTTCTGGTCACATTTTTTAGGTCTGCAGTCTAGCCAACAGGATGTAGACTATATATGGAGATGAGTCTACTGCCTCATTAAGTCAGTGTAATGGACATATCCATGTCAAAACCAACACGGCTGGTCTGCCCTGGCGGATGGAGTCGCCCCAGCATGATGGCTCCCCTGTTCTGGTCCATTACCACTGGCTTTTGTGTATAACAGCAGGAGGCTCTCTATTTCCCTGATCATTCTGGATGAAAATGGCTGTGCTATTCTCCAACTCGGCCACATAAAGCACAAATAAAGAATCTTGTTTAAACTGTATTGAGATTTTTTATGATTTATATCCAACTTTATGAAAAGCAAGAGTCAAGTATCAGTGAAAAATAAAAGCAGTCCATTGTTTCAACTTAAAAATAATACCAAAGAATTAAATATATCTGGATTTGGTGTGTAGGCAGAGGGAGGGGACAGGGAATGCGAGTTGCCAAGAGAAGGGGTGTATATGTATGGAAATGGAGGCCCAAAAACATGTTCACAAGAACTGCAGCTAGATAAGCAAAGGTTGTCTGAAAATGTTAGTTCCAAATATAGCCTTAATCATATTGACAGGGAAAAGAAATGACATAAAAAGTGATGAAATCAAAACAAGGCAATTTATGCCATGAAGAAGCCTGAGCTATAATGATTTCTGAAACAGATGTTATAAAGAAAAGAAAACTGTAAAACTTTTTAAACTGCACTGTTATATTTAAGACAAAATGAAAATTTGGTAAGAGACCTATGGCAGTTTGCAAAATATCAAGAGCAAAGAGGTTAGCAAAGTAACTCTAGCACACCTCTGGGGGAGACCAATGTGATTGAATGCTGAGGAAGGGTGATTACAAGGCCACTGTCTACTGACAGAGTATTAGGGGCTTTATGGAGCAGGGAATCATGAAGTCATTCAACAGACTGGTTTTATTATCTCAGCCGTTTGGACAAGAAGTAAATAGATTGGAAAACTCAAGTGGTGATCTGAAATGTAAGTCAAAAAGCAGAAGTGGATTCCTCTTAGAGTTTGGAGCAAGAGAGAAATTGACACTTCTTTTCTGATAAACTATAGAGTTCAACACCAGAATATATGCTGACCTGTAAGAACCAGAGACGTTAACGTAGACTTGAAGTGAAAAAGGCAGGCAATACAAAATATTTCTGCTAGGTCATACACCAGAAAAAATGCAATATTTGCCTTCCTTGTCTGTTTTATTTCTAATAACCTAAAAATGAATAAATACTGTTAGTTTTTAAAGGCAGAAATGAAGTGGTAACTGTTCAGTGATGATTAGTAATGATTGCATTGCTTAAATACATAAACATAATGATGTTTATTAAAAGCACAATATAAATTCTTAAGGAACATTTCATTGCATCCTTAGTTTCCATGTAACAAAAATATGAAGAAATATTTATGTAAGTAAAGTGATTTTTACATAAATCAAATGTGTAATAAATTGTTCAATTTGGGGTGCAGCTTACCCAGAAATGTGCATGTTTTATATAAAATTACCTTGAGGGAAAAGCAGCCTTGCCTAGCAGCTAAGATACCTGGAACCCTTATCAGAATGTCTGGTTTTGATTTTCAACTTTTACTCCTGACTCCTGACTCTGGGGGGCAACAGTGATGACTCAATAAACTGGGTTCCTGCCATGCATGTGTGAGACATGGACTGAGTTCCTAGCTGCTAGCTCCGGCACTGGCCCAGCCAAGCAAATGTGGTCATTTGAGAGTGAACCAGGAAATGGAAGCGCTCCCTCTATGTCTCTTTGTCTTTCCTTCTCTATGTTTCTCAAATAAAAATTTTTAAAAAGACCTTCAATTCATCTATTTTCCTTCATTCCCATGTGTATTATGATTGTAATTTTGTCAATACTTCCCATTAATTAATTTCAGATTGTTTATTCACAAAATGGCAACTGTTACTGCTTTACTGCATGTTGTCATAATTTTTCCTGGGTTATTACATGGTTATTAAAAAAAAAGAGGCTTTGTGGGGAGCAACTCGGACTAGACTAAGTTACTGGAATTAAGACTTATTCTATGCATCTGCTCTCCCACAATATGGCGCTGAGAAGGGAGAAACAGCTTCTACACAGCTGCCTCCAGTTCAACCAATAAACTGTAGGACCTGCTCCTGATTGGAGGAGAGCAGCGTACTCGGCGTGTGGGTAGCAGAGTTGGGATTGGTGAAGAGGACTATAAAGGAGGAGAGAGACAACATGCACCAGGAACATCTAAGGGGAACATCTATCTGAAGGAACACCTGTGCAGCCCCCGAGAGAGCCGGCCGGCGGTGTGCCGCTCCCCGGCGGAAGTGAGGAATGTGGCAGGGGGAACCGCCCTTCCACAGAGGTGGAAGGGTCGGTAGCCAACCCGGGAAGAACCAGCAGCAAACCCGGGGAGGGCCGAGCAGACAAAAGAACAGCGCAGGGTCCTGTGTCGTTCCTCCACGAAGAGGGGGAGCGACAGGCTTCATCTACTTGAGTCAGAGACTCATCTATTAATGGGCTAGTGATGATTATAGACCAAGAACCCAAAGAATGTAATGACCGTAAGCATGTGTACTTGAAGTATACTTTTAAAATAATATAAATGGTGTCTTAGTACATATTCTGCTGCTATAGCAAATTGTCCAAGACTGGGTATTTGTAAAGACTGAAGTTCATTTGTCCCGCAGTTCTGGGATCAGGGATATAAAAGTATGGCGCTGGCACTTGCAGGGCACCTTGTTCAGGTTTTCTTGCTGCATGAAAATATGATTCAGGAGGGCAGCACTGTGGTGCAGCTTGTTAAGCTACCACTTGAGTTGCCAGCATCCCATAACAGAGTGCTGGCTGCAGTCCAACTGCTCCACTTCGGATCCAGCTCCCTGCTAATGCTCCTGGGAAGGCAGCAGATGATGGCCCAAGTGCTTGGGCCCCTATCACACTTGTGGGAGCTCCATATAGAGTTCCTGGCTCCTGGCTCCAGCCTGGGCCAGTCCTGGCTGTTACAACCATTTGGGGAGTAAACCAGTAGATAGAAGATCTCTCTCCTTCCTACCCCTCCCTCCTTTTCTTCTGTCATTCTGCCTTGCAAATAAATAAGCAATTAAATCTTTAAAAAAAACTGTTATGGAGTTGTGTAACATAGTACAGAAATGTTTAAAAGATTTATTTATTTACTTGAGAGGTAGAGTTACAGACAGAAAGAGGGAGAGGCAAAGAGTGAGGTCTTCCATCCACTGGTTCACTCGCCAAATGGCCACAACAGCCAGAGCTTTGCCAGTCTGAAGCCAGGAGCTTCTTCCAGGTCTCCCACATGGATCCAGGGCCCTAAGCACTAGAGTCATCTTCCACTACTTTCACAGGCCATCAATAGGGAGCAGGATCTGAAATAAAGCAAATAGGACTCCAACAGGTGCCTATATGGGATGTCAGCACCACAGGTGGCTACTTAACCTACCATGCCACAGCACTGGCCCCATGAAAATTTTTTTAAGAAAAAGAAAGAAATGCAGAACTTCAGGCCCCACCCAGATCCAGGAACCAGGATCTGTATTAAAAATAAAATAACACGGTGGAGGACGTTGCATGGCATGGAAGAGCAAGCGTGCTAGGTTGGGTCTCTCTTCCTCTTCTTATACAGCAATGAAAGCACCATGGAGGCCCCTATCTTTGTGACCTCACCTAGTTTTTTTTTTGTTCTAAAGTCCTTATTTATTTAAAAAGTAGAGCAACAGAGAGATCTTCCATTTGCTGTTTCACTCTCCAAAGGCCCACAACAGCCAGGATTGGGTCAAGCCAAAGTAAGGTGCCAGGAACTCCATCAGGATCTTCCATGTGGGTGGCAGGGAACCAAGTTCTTGAGCCAACATCTGTACATTAGCAGGACCTGACCCCAGGTACTCATAGATGGGATGTAGGCACCCTAAGCAGAAGTTTAACCTGCTGTACCACAGCACCCACCCCTACACCATTGGATCTTAATTACCTCTCAGAGGCCCCAGCTTGAAATACCATTATAATGAACCTGAGGATGAGGGTTCCACAGATGAACTTTTGAAGGACACATTCAACCCCAGCAAATGGTAAACTCAATTTGGAAAGCAGTTTGGCTAGTCCTTAAAATATTAAAAATGAAGGTACTACATGATCAAGAAAATCCACTTCTAGGTACATACCCATAGTAAAAGAAAAAAAAAATGTCCACACTAAAACTTGTACACAAGTTCTACTAATAGAATTATTTATAACAGGCTGAAAACAGAAACAATCAAAGGCAACCAACTGAAACATAAGATTCATTCGTACAATGAAATATTAGTCATCCAAAAAAGGGAATGAGGTCCAGATACATACAATGCAGATGAACTTTAAATGCTAAATGAAAGGATCCAGATACTAAATATTACATGTATATGAAATGTCCATAAAAGGAAGAAGTATAGAGAGAAAAAGTAGGTTTCGAGTTGTCTATGCTGGGGAAAGGAGTTAAAGAATACCACTAATGGATACAGAGTTTCTTTTGGAGTGTTAATGACATTCTAATTTTAAACACTTGTGCTTGTTAAACAACTCTTTGAACATAGTAAAAATAAACTGCATGCTTTATATGGGAAAGTTTATGACATTTTAATATCTCAATAAAGCTGTTAAAATATGCTGGCTATTGTAAACCGTGCTGATATATAAACACAGCAGTGCTAGTATCTCCTTGATGCAGTCAGTTCATATCTTTTGGGTATAGACCCAGCAGTAGGATTGCTGGATCATATGATAAGTCCATGTCTAGTTTTTTAAGGCATCCCTATACTGCTTTCCGCGGTGGCTGCACTAATTTAGTTCCCATCTACAATGTATAAGACTTCCCATTTCTCCACATCGTTGCCAGCGTCGGCTGCTTTCTGTCTGTTGGAGAGCAGCTATTCTGAGAGAGGTGATGTGTTATTTCCTTGTGGTTTTAACGGTCCTTGATGGCTAGTGATGTAGAGTATTTCTTCTATTGAAAACCAACTGTTGAGGTTCTTTGTACATTTCCTCACTGCATTCTTTTTTATTGCTGAGTCTTGAGTTGCTGATATATTCTGGATATTAATACTTTGTCAGATAAGTAGCTTGCAAATTTTTTTCCAATTCTATGGGTTCTCTCTTTACTCTGTTGATTGGTTCCCATGATATGCGGAAGTTTTTAAGTTTGATGTAATTTCACTTGTGCCACTTTCCTTTTGTTTCCTGTACTTTGGAAGTTTTTCCTAAGAAGTCATCACCTGCTCCCAGGATCTTCTTCTCATGGACTTCCACCA